AGAGTTTATGTGAACAAAGGGGCCGGGCATAGGCATTTTCTAGAGACATATCATATCCTTGGCTTTGGGGGTTCAACTTTCAGAAAAGGCCAGTGCTGTGGACTCAAAGCATCACTTGAGGCACTCACTCACTCAACGAAGCAGCACAAATGTGTACAGACTTCAAGACCGTACGCTCAACATCTACACAAAGTGTTTTCCTGTAGAATTGGCCTATGGTCACAAAAGGCAACCTCCAAGATCATGCCCAAGAAAAGGTGTTCCTATTAAATGAGGGGCACTACGGGCACAGACGTTTTTACATAATTATTCTACAATTAGTTTTATATCGACCATAGGGCCATTGGGATGTTTATGGAACTTTGCAAATGATTGACTGGGGCCCTTGCGAGATACCCGGAAATATGACAGCAAAGGCATGTATGGGCAAATATGCAAGCACGAATCAATAAGCCCACATGTGCGCGCATGGTAAAATGGGAAGAGACGGGTTGGAAGCGACGACCACAATGGAGAAAAAGACAAAAAGGACAACACAAAAAGAACAAAACAAAAGACTTGCGAGCTTAATCTAGATAGCGTAGCCCATTCAGGAAAGAGTGTTTCTCCGTGTTCTTTCTTCAGACCTCGAACCTTCTTTTCCTTCCTTCTTTTGCAAGGTTTCACACACAGGTGTCTTCTCTTCATGCAAAGGCACCAGTCGATGTGGGTGAGGCCTGCCAGATTCTCTTCAGGAAGTGTGAGACATACTAAAAAGCCATCACGTCTGAAAGGAAATCAAGAAGAATGAGATAGAACATGTTCCCAACGTGCCTCGCTGCTCTCGGTCTCAACCTCCCACGCTAAGGACCTGCCTTAGAACTGTTGCAAAGCAAAAGCAAGGCCAATGGTGAGCCCCGAGTACTTCGGTCCTCTTCTCAAGCACGTCAAGCCAAAGCCGTCGTGGCACATCCCGATCCCCAAAGCTGCCCAATGCTGGAAAATTAATGGACTTTCTTGGAAAAAACAAAAAAACATCCAGTACTCACACCTACCAAGTCCATCAAATTCAGCCAAGAGGCACTCAAGGCTTTCAAGACACTCATCCTCAACCTTCTCAACTTTCGAGTCTTGTGAGTTCACTGACACAAAGGAGACATGATTCCTCAGTTCATACGGAAACACGTCTTTCGCTCGCATCAAGTCCCGCCCGCATCCGCCCACCTGTCTTTCCACGATGCAGTGAGCACATGGTACAAATTCAGCTGAGCGGCTGAAATGAAGGCCATTGTTTGGAGACCTAGACAAACTGCGGGAGGCGGTATGTAGAAGATTGTTTTTGGAGCATGGCAAATGGATATCGACGGATGTTTGTTTGGCAACCTACTTTGTTCGCTCTTGCTTGCCCCCTCTCTTTGCCAGAGTCCTACTCCTACTCCTACTCCTACTCCTACTCCTCCTACTACTACTACTACTACTACTCCTGCTGCTGCTGCTGCTGCTACTACTACTACTACTATTGCCACTACTACTACTACTACTACTACTACTACTACTACTACTACTACTACTCCTACTCCTACTCCTACTCCTACTCCTACTCCTACTCCTACTACGACTACTACCACTACTACCACTATTACCACTATGACTAAATTTGCAGGCCTGGTGGTGGTCACTCAAGACCTTTTGCGTCGATCGTTGTTTGAACCTTTCTATGCTCTATTGGCTGCAGGCTGCAACCACCCGTAACATGTTCTTAGGTGAAGAGGAGCAGTCCTCCATCCTCAAGTCAACACTTGTGAAGCCATGAAAAACATTCTTGGTCTAAATGAATGAACAAAAAGTTGCCTGTCGGACATAAGGCAAACGGTGCGCGTGACTGAAACATGCATCATCCACCGTGGCTTATCAAAGTTCCCCGAATTGCCTTCCTCCGAGACGTAGAAAGAACACATTCAACGAGCTTGCCCTGTCATCTTCCCAGGCCTTCTCAGGGTTCAGCACAAGGCCAGAGGGCTCCTTTGTGCTGTGGACGACATAGAGCAAAGAAAAACGAGGAAGCAAAGGAAGGAAAAAAACGGCCTAAAGGTCTCACAAAATTTAAGAATTCTCCCGCTACACTATGTAGCTACTTGAGCATACAGCTACCAGCTGCATCTTACCATATCTTACCTGCTTGGCCTATCCGCTACCTAGCAATAAGATAGAAAAAAAAGGCGGTAGGGCTCCTTTCATGATAGCCCTTTCAAGGGGTACTGATTGTAGGTGCCCTTATTTCTCGATTGCCTAAATTCTGCAGCTTTCCCGATTCCACTTCTCAGTTGGCAGGGTCCTGGGCTTGGCCCACAGGCCTCATGCGCTCTTGCTCCGAGGAGCATCCTGCACTCTGAACTCACAAGTCTCACGAAGGAATGGGTCTGATGTGTGGATTTCAATTAGAGTTTAAAAATGTATATGTGTAGTATATATAAAAATGCTAAATATAGTTTTGACTAGTATTGATAAGATTGGTAATGTACTATGATGTACTATGATATAATATCATCTGTGGTCTTAGAATGTTCAACACCTCTCGATGCGAAGGCGGGAAGGCCCGCCTATTTCCATTGGAACACAAGCGAGCAAGCAGATATGTACCTGGGCACTGTACTCTCCGTCGTCGCACATGGTTATTTGGGCCAGGCCCTGTAAAGGGATGGACTTTCTACGGGGGAATCCAAACTCCTTCTGCGCTTCGGGCAAGTAACAATTTGCCAAGAATTTATCGGGCCCACTACGCTTGCTTCTGAGCTGCTGCTTGACTCCAGGGCCAGGCAGTCGAGTACATTGAGCCCAAAAAAAACAGACCGACATGCATTGTTTCAATGCATACACCATAGCGTGACATGAAACAATCCATTGCGCCGATGAAGACATTAAAACAAGGCTTTGCACTGGCACTTCACTGTGTGCTTTTCTGAGACGTATGTCTCTTAGATGTGTGGTGCACAAACAGTGTGAAGAATGCTGGCTTTGCGGGTCTTGTGTTTCGGACAGATCCGGACAGAGGTGAAACTGACAGACTGCGGAATGGCGTGGTTTGACCCTTTTGAGATTCTTAGAAATCCAGAAAGGTTGATCCAGGCACAACATTGGATGTTTTACAACTCATACGCGGCTGGGTTTCCAAAGTGTCAAATCGCTTAATTCAGCCCCCCCTTGCTACTAGTAGCTTCTTGCTACTAGTAGCGATGCACCTGTTACTAATAGCGATGCCCTTGTTACTAATAGTTTTTTGTCACTAGTAGTAAGGCCAGGAACTACTAGTAGCGTCCTTGCTCCTAGTAGCGATGCCCTTGTTACTAGTGGCAAGTGTGCATTGAAAGTTGAAACTGAGCGGATGTTGAAAGTCAATTGCGAACTGTGGGCCAAAACCAAACAAATGGATTCTCTTTGCTCCTAGCCTTCTTTAAGCGGACGCTCCCGAAGGCGTATTTTTCATTGTTTTACTATCCAGTACAGCAGTATATTAGGTGGAGGCCATCGCGTGGAGGCCATCGCGAATAGGTTGGAGGCCATGGCTAAAAGGTTGGAGGCCATCGTTAGTAGGTTGGAGACCATCGGTAGTAGGTTCGAGCCCATCGCTAGTAGGTTGGAGGCCATCGTTAGTAGGTTGGAGGCCATCGCTAGTAGGTTGGAGGCCATCGCTAGTA